CTCGTAATAACCTTATTATTATACATCTTTTCCTTCCAAGGATACAACATGGGAATGCCGAAATCCGAAAAGTGTAAAACAGAATCCGCGAACTTGTGTGGAGTTCGGTCAAACCCGGATGGCAGTCATGTTTGTTTTTATTATTATTAGAGGACGCTTACGCGCGTAATCATTCCATATTTGGAAGGCGCATTCTCTAATATGGTAGGATGAAAATACCCCGTGAAATATCGTAAAATTACGGTACGCTGTAACTTACGGCATTACGGTGACAGATGTATAATAATAAGTATTAAGTAACTTATTATATCATTTCGCGCTGATGTGTACAACATTTTTGTAACAATCTATGCATGTTGTGAAATATTCTCCGTAGTGTTAAAGAGCTTACTATATTACGCACGTAATGATGTATACTCCATAATTGTAATATTTTTAAGATAATGATGTCATGTATGTTTTTAATGTGATCTAATAATATGTTAACGCAAATTATACCAACTATATCTCAATGGGCTCGCAGACAAATGGTATGCGGGCGACAATTTTCAAATACATTGCGTTCCTCTGCCGAAGTAAACAATTCCACGTTTCTTAGAAATGATATATATATATATATATATATATATATATATATATATATATATATATATATATATATATATATATATATCATAATGTCGGTCTGTGTTCTTGACTTGTTAGCGTATAGTTCTGTACGCTCATAGTTGTTAACATGTTTGAGTTATATCATTGGGGTAGTAGATATGACTACATCATAGGAATAGCGAAATCCAAAAAGTTTAGAACAGAATCAGCGAACTTCTTCGTGTGGAGTCTGGTCAAACCTTGATGGCAGCCATGTTTGTTTTTAATATTAGAGGACGCTTTCGCGTAACCATTCCATATTTGGAATTTTCATTTCCTAGTATGGTAGGATGAAAATACCCCGTGCAATACCGCAAAATTACGGCACGCTGTAATTATGGCGTTACGCTGACAGATGAATAATAATTGCTATTACTGCCAAAATATGTCACACTTATCTTCATAGTACAACTACAGCAATATTTCTCATACAAAGTGAAATAATACTAGAATGCTACACCCACCGAATACGTTTTCATAACTTGGAGTGGTTAATATACTCGTTCACTGTCCTAGTTTTCTTTGCGCCTCAACGCTCACTCTAAGTGAAGAGTTTCATCCGTAACCATGCATATTGTTAACTAATTAAAATATGCCTTTCATGGTTCATGACTCCGTAAAATATCACTTGATTGTAATTGATCAGTGAATGAAATATCGCTTTTTGTGCTGAAATGTTGTCTCACGTATTTATTGCGTCATATAAATGTCGACTGTTAACATATCACATGGCGAAAAACAGTATGTGGTGAAAAATATTGCTTGTCAAACACATATTGCGTGGCGAAACACACACTGTGTTGTGAAACCACATTGCGTGGCGATTGTAATAATGTGTCTCTGTGTGCAATATTACATAAATATCACGTCATTATTTGACTAATAATCCATTAACTAAGTTCGCTGTAAATTTATGTGTTTACCAAAGTATGAACTATATGAAATACCATCATCTATACACGTGTATTGCGATTCAGGCACACGTCAGGTACAACTTGAAATTAAATTAAATTAAAATAGTAGAAACATGGATCGAATGGGTTAAATCCATATATAAGGACAAAAATGAAAAAGAAACGAATAGGTTTTCGAGAATGAACCGATTAATCATCTGAGATCGAATCCCAGGATATTTTTTGTAAAATGTCAAGTTTTATCAAGTCGATCTGTGTATGAGATACAATGGCCGTACGTTGATAGATCACGCCACATCAATGCATGTTCTATGTCATTCGATTGAAACTAGTATTGATGTGAATCACTATACAACATCTCTACTATATTGTTTCAGCATGGATATGATGTCAAATCACTCACATCTAGGAAGGTTTAGGCTAAATGCTGATTTATATATGAGCTTAATATATTTTAAGATCAATTAATCGGTAATAAAACCGTTATTATTATTATTATTATATAAATATCTCCCAATCCCATTTTCTAGCAGGGAGACTATCACTACGTCAATGCTCCATGTCAAAGTCATAACTCTATGTAGTAATCGCGTTGTCAGGCCAAGTAATCTCGCGTTATTTCATTATTCCTAAGTAGAGTGTTCGTGTTTTATAATTGCTAAAATCGTATACTATGCATATTATGTAATCGTTTTGATCCCTGGAATTCGTGCTGACCAAAGGCTAATATTTATTACAAGCAAATTTGAATTCTTATTCATATATATGCAATATTATGAGGTTATTACGAGGATTCCGACGGAAAAGTATACAGGAAGACAGTACAGCGAGAACATAGACCGACGCGCGGCG